CCCTGCCTCTGACATCTTTATCAGTACTATCGCTCAGCACTGGTTTCCTCAGCTAAAACAGGACTGGCTTCCATGCCTAATGTTGGCTTGGTGGAGCTGGTGGAATTCAAGAGGGTGAAGAACTCGTGTGTGTGTGTGTGTGTGTGTGTGTGTGTGTGTGTGTGTGTGTGTGTGTAAGAGACAGATGGGGGGCGGGTCTTATGTGTTGTATCTTGACAGTCTTGTACCCAGCGGAACAGCCAGAGTAAACTTGAATGGATGATTCCAGCAACTTAAGAATTGATTAAAGTTACCCTGGGCTTCCAACGGTGTCCACATCAAAAAGGCAGGAGAAATAAATAAGATGATTCTTTTGCTGTGAAGATACTATGTTCATGGACAGCATCCTCAAGACCACTAACTGACCTTGTCACTTGTGGGTTGTGAACTTAGAGTGAGCCCACCTTGAAGATGCTTGCCTTATCTTTAAGGAGGAATGGTGAAGAAGACGTTAGAGTCCAAAATTGGAGCGTAGGCAGCTCAAGATTATTTGCCTATTAGGTTGCCTGGAAATGCTTTTTATCATTCCCATCTGTTCATCAACGAGCCTTTCATTTTTAAAAGAAAAAAACTAATAAATTTCCCTTCTTTGGAGATAGGGGTACTTTAGTGATTAGGTTAGAGGGTTGTATTTTTTGTCTCGTGATTTTCCATATGTGATTTTACTATACCCAGAGAATTCAAGGCCAATCAGAGAACAAGGGCAAATCCACCCAGCTAACTAGTGAAAGAGGAGCCAGGAACTCTGGGCATTTTCATACGGGGGCTGAAAGATTAAAGATTTAAACAGTCAATCTACATAATTTATTAATTTTTTTTTGATGGCCAACGTCATGATTTCCACGTTGCTAACACAGGCTGCAGATAGCACAGCCTGTCTCTTTACTACAGAGGTGCTCGTTCAGCACGACGTGATCACCTAGTAAAGGTTTTACATGGAGGCAAGTAGAATTCAAGCCAGCAGGTTCAGACTCCTGTTGTGCTGGAAACCGGGTGTTCACAGAGCGAAGGATTTATCCAGGAATCTGGTGGAGAAACATTTTCCTCACCCTCGGAACCTAAAAGCCCTTTTGACATCCTGCATGCCTTTTCCATTGTGTGGGCTCAACAGGTCAGGGGTTGCCTAAGGCGGGCCCAGCAAATTGGCACTGGCTTTGTGACTAAGACCTGGAAGGAGTGGTCAAGAAGAGGAGGCCAGGGAAACTGGATAAGCCTGACTTTTCCTGTAGGTTTTAAAGTTCCCTCTCCAAGAAGGCTGGATTATGATGTCTTGGCTGCTGAGGAGAAGCTAAGGCACCTTCTGAATTATTTGCTGAAGGAGTCTCTTGCACAGGTATAGGTTTAGGGAACAGTAAAGGTGGCTACCAGAGTAGAGGCAAGGAAGCACAACCCTTCTGGCCACACTTGTCCCTTTATTTTTGTGATGGTGGGTACTTCACTTTTCCCTGAAGTTCTACTAGCATCTCTTCTTGTTGGTGTTCTACAGTGTAAAGTTGTCCCCAGTGCTCAGCTCCTGCCCCACAGTATTGGAGGATCCTCTCTGGGGTGTTCTTGCTCTCCGAATAGGTAGAGAAGCAGTGTTCCGGCCTTCACTTGCTGCAGGACTATCCTGCCTGTGGAGCAGGAATGGTGGGAGTTCTTTCATGTCTTCTCAGATCATCAGCAACCTAAGACCCCTTACCCAGCCTAACATTGTTCTGGTTTCTCTGACCACACTGCCTGTTTCCTGAGTGAGTCCAGCCTGCTCGGCACCCACTGTGTTACAGGAACAACTCTGCTTCTTCCAGGCTCGTTCTTTTGTGGCTAAGCTTCATTTTTGACCAGGCCATTTGTCTTCCCGCTCTAGTCATCTCTTCTACCGAGTTCCCCTTCTCACAGGGATTGACGCATGCTTTCAAGAATTGAGGAAGACAGTGTGAACTTTTTAGGTCCCAAGTTTGCGCCCCTCACCTTTTGTACCTGATTTTTGATCACATTGAATCTACAAATCCTGAAACATGCCAATCTCCCCTTTTTTGGCTTTAGCACTCTAGTACAAAATGGCTGTTTTCTACGGCAACTTGTCTGTCTCCAATGAATAATGGATCTTTGTCTCAACAACTAAAATGATCGTTTTGCTTTCTAGAATAATTTTCAGAGAAGTGAGTTAGTGCCCATGTAGAAAGCTAACAGCACATTCCACACTTGGGGGGTGGGCTTTCTAGTTGTGTCCTTTCTTTCCATAGACATCACTGAAGCAAAAAAATCACTGTTGTCAAGAGCGTCCCTGGAAGCCACAGATTTTGTTAGGTGTTTCATAAACTAAATCAGGTAGTCATTCCTGATCCCTGGTTCCTTCCAGTATGAAGCAGGCAACACCTACGCTGAAATAGGCAGAATCGTAGTTAGGAAAACCTCAGAAGAGCATTGAGAAGATGTAGACAGTGTGGAGCCATATGGAATCCATGCCTGTCCAGCTTCTGCTTAGAAGATGCCCACTAGAAAGGGTGGTGTTTGGTGCTGAAATGAATGAAGAGATGGTATTTAAAAGGTTGGTGTCCCAGCACAGCAATCATCAAAGAAGGTGAGGAGCGATAGGTGGACCATGACTGACCAGATGAATGGAGCATTGATAGCTCTAGCTGAGAGAGGTTAGGGATATCAGTGAGAAGAAACTAGAAAAGCAAAGCTTTGAAAGAGGTGAGAATAGAGGAACCTATCTTCAGGACATCCTGAGCCATATGAGTTTTAAAGAAGCAAGTAGAATAAAAGTGTAAGCCACACAATTAAAGACAGAGGGAGACACTAAACCATTCCAGGTCAAAACAAAGCGAAAGCCACACACTGGGTTTAAGGAGCGGAACAAGCCAGAGCAACTCCCGTGTGGCTTCAGCTCTGGAGTTATTGCTTTTATTTCTATTGGCAGGGCTCTAAAATGTTTACAGTGTTTGCAAGGTGATCTCTATGAGCAAAAACAGTGGACAGCAGATTAAATTTGTAGATTTCTAGACAAACATAATATTCTATAGTGAATTTAGTTTCCTTAAGAGAAACTATTGTTAGCAAAAAATAAGGGCAGCCCAGAGGTATGTCAACAAAATGTAACTCTGGAGAGCCATATGGCTAAATGTATAACATAAAGGACAATGCGTAGGAAGAATCATACCTCTCAAGGAGTCCTCACAGTTCATTTAGGGATAGTGTGAGTTGCTTTTCCCTCACATGAAGGGAGGGGGCCGAATTTAACTGATCTTCACTGGAGCTGCGCATTTGGTCTGCACCTTGTGGACCGCACACGTGTGTGGACAACACACACGTGTGATCAGATGACCAGAACTCACAGGAAAACTTGAGGCAAGAATTAAAATGGAGGAGAAAGCGAGAAATGAGAAAGTGATATTAATTCTCTAAGCTTATTTAAAGAACTAACCCTAAAGTAAGCACTGAGTGTTCATATAGCTGCTGATGCTGTCCTTTACTGCACACCTCCCAAAAGCAAAGTCTTAGCACCTGCATGTTAGACTTGTCTGCAGTTATACCTAAGGTGCCGTTGGAACATGACCCTCAGCTGTGCAGCTGATAGAGAAACATCCTGGGCACCAGGTTTTTACTTTTGGGAAATGAGACTCGAGTGATGGATATTGTTGTACTTACTTTCTGTTAGTCACCTAACAGTCTGCATGAGCTGACACACAGTACCTGAGAGGGGCCACCCCTTTTCCTAATACCTTCATGAAGAACGAGCGCATAAAGTCTCCTTGGGTCAGTTAAAAGAGGAATGTCCAAATTCAGTCAAATCTGGACAGAATCCAGATTCTAAGCCTTTGTTCTGGTAGGAAGGCCAAGCTAAACTAGGATTAAATTTAATAGGATTAAGTTTAAAGTTCCAAGTGTATTACTTGTGTAAGACAACTAATTAATTTGCAGTAGAACTGGGTTAATAACAGTTTCCGTGAAAAAAGACTGAGGGTTTTATACCCTCAGGTCTCAGTCTGAGTCAGGAGTGAAATGTCTTTGTTAGAGTGAATGACGGACGGGTGGCCTGAAGACCTTTGACTGACTTAGCCAACCTCCGCCTAACTAGACCTTGTGCATGTCAGTGGATGGGACTAGATCTGTTGAGTCTGGATGAATTTGTTATCTTCTTTTGGGAACCTCTCTAATTGGTAGAAATTTGGAGCCTTAGAAATCTGTGAATGAAAGGGGATGGTTTCCTGCCCACTCAGTCTAAAAAATGGTGTGTGTGTGTGTGTGTGTGTGTTGTAATTCGCATCGTAATGCCGGATTCTGTTTTTGGTATCATCAATGGTTGGGTACTCAGCATGGCATGATTTTGGCATCAGAAATTATTTAGTGAAAACTTCACTTCTGAAGTTAATTGTCCTATATTGAGCTCCTGAATATGTCAAAATTATGGTAAATATTTTAGGGTAGGTATTTATCAATATTTCATAAACCCTAAGCAATGGATAAAAACCCTAGTACTCTCTGGAAAGATTTGTTTTTATGTATATGTCATTTTTTTTCTGGGAAAGACTCCAGCACTTTTATCACATTCTCAAATGATACCAAAATTGGATATTTCCCTTTTGCACCTCCATAGTTTGTCTTTCTCCTGATGTATAAACAGAGAGGCACCTTGACTGTTGCTTCCTCTCTTACTCTAGACCAGCCTACAGATCTTCCCCCCACAGGCAGAGTTCCAAAGTTGTTCTAATTGGAATCTTAGCCTTAGAGTAAATGAGAACTCCCCTTTCCCACGTCCTCACAGCCTAGGACAAATCTAGTCGTGTTTGCAGGAACAAGACTCAGACTTGTGGCTTTGAGAATGCGGGTTATTTTACTGTCTCCTTTCGATGCATGAGTACCGATTTGGTCTTCTCCAGGAATGTTTTGTTCTGAGGTGAGTTCCAGAGAAGCCTGACTTCCTCAGTGGGATGTGTGTTTCATGTGGTGTTTCTTCCCCTTGCGAAACCTCACAGGGTGCCAAAGCGTGCTTTCTGCGGGACATTCCTTTCTCGGCCATCTACTTCCCCTGCTACGCACACGTGAAGGCTTCCCTTGCCAATGAAGACGGACAGGTCAGCCCCGGAAGCCTGCTCTTAGCTGGTGCTATAGCCGGTAAGTCTCCTCCATGCAGTGCCATGCTTTCCCCCCACCCACCCCGAGCCTCCAGCCTCCAGCCTCTGGCCCTAACCCCATCCATCATACTACAGAGACAGGGTTTTTGTTTGTTTGTTTTTCCTGACAGTTTTTGACAGAGTCTTAATGACTTTTTTTTTAATATCTTTCAAGGGACAGAGAAGAAATTAATCTATATTTTGTCAAGTTAGATTATTAAGTGACCTTTAGCTTTAGAGTATTTACTGATGATTAGTTGATTTACTTGTTTGTTTTCTGTGGTATTGGTAGATTTTAATTCATGTTCCATATTATTTCCTAATTTCACTTAGTAGCCCTGTAGATGGAGCAGCGGGGCGCTTCCTGCCTCCCAGCTCCCAGCCACCGGCTAACTTTACGCAAAACAATTACATGGAAACTGTATTCTTTTAAACACTGCTTGGGCCATTAGCTCTAGCCTCTTACTGCCTAGCTCTCACATCTTGATTAACCCATTTCTAATGAGTGTCTTACCGGGAATATTCTTAACCTGCATCCATCTCGGAGAGGAGAGCTACGACATCTGCTTGAATCTGCTTCTTTCTCCCAGCATTCTATTCTGTCTACTCCACCTACCTAATTTTCTGTCCTATCAGGGCCAAGGCAGTTTCTTTATTAACCAATGAAAGTAACACATAGACCCTCCTCCATCATGGCCCAAGAATGAAAATGGTTTGGCTTGAACTTTTTAATACTTGTGCCCTAAAGGTATCTAAACAAATTGTTGCATGTAAGCTTGTCCAGAGCTTAAGCGAAATGTGACCGCTCAGGACACAGTAAACGAGTGGCTGAACTGGAAATGAAAGTAGGAGTTCTGTATTCCACATCTCCCTCCCCGAGTTGTAGTCTCCCACTTTCGTTATTACTGAAAACAACTAGTGTTCTCAGCTGCCCAGGACAGAACAGCTCTGGCTCACAGAGGTAGGACCTATGGAAAACTAAGTACCATTGATTGACGTGTGACCAAATAGGCTTCTTTTCCTCAGTTTTGCATAGAGACAGCATTGTAGAGTCCGTCCTGTATTTCAGGGAGGGGAGCATCATGGGAGGCTCTTTGCATAGTGACTAGCATATATCATGTATTCAGTACCTATGAAGATGGAATCTAGATGAGACTCCCCCTAAATCACTCCACAAGTACCAAATATAAGATTAAGATGATGAGAGCTCAACTCAGGGTCAAAGATTCTCTCATAACCATGTTTTTCTCAGACTATTAAAACATTTAACTCTCCTCTTGGGGAAATCAGACACTGAGAACCAGGTTCACGTCTGGGTATGAATATACTAGGTAGCACATGTTACCAGATCTGAATATTTCCTTTCTTTTTTTATTCTATTTTATTTTTGCTGATTATGAAAGTAATATATAGCTCACTATAAAATATTTCAAAATGGCTGGGTGATGATGGTGCATGCCTTTAATCCAGCATTCAGGCAGAAGCAGGTGCATCTCTGAGTTTGAGGCCAGCCTGGTCTACAGAGTGAGTTCCAGGACAACCAGGGGTATACACAAAAATTACTGGAAGAGAGTTGCTATTTAACTTATATTTTTATTACAATTATTCATGTACTTTATGAAGATATATATGTAGACAGAAGTTGCAGTGCACAGACAAGTGAGGGAGTCAGTTTGCTCTTACCATTGTGTGGGTCTCAGGAACCAAACATGGGCTGTCAGGCATGGTGGCTTTACCTCCGAGCCATCTTACCAGTCTCACTTAACACTTTTGCTTCCTCCTTGGATGGTTTAGATGGCTTCAGTCACACTGTGTTTTCAGCATGGTTGATTGCTGTAGGGTGATGATTGGTGGCATGTGCTGTGGAGTCAGACTCCAAGGGTCAAATTCACTTCCCCACTTTGACCCTATGACATACACAAATCACTGATTCCCTCTTGATCCATTTTTTAAATTTGATGATAACTGTTTTAGCTTCACAAAAAAAAAAAGTATTGTGAGGGTTAAGTGGAATAATAGACAAACATTTCAAATAGTTGCCATCATGTTAGTATTCAGAAAAGTTCAACTATAGTGATTTTATTTTGTCATTAAGCATAGTTTTAATAACAGCTGGATCTTATTGTTATTTTTCATTATAATTTCTTGAGATTATAATATAATTACATTATTTCCCTTTCTTTCTCTCTTCTCCCCACAGTCTTTCCTATGTCCCCATTGTGACCATTCTTTTTCAAATTCATGGTGTCTTTTTCCATAATTGTTGTTTTGTGTGTGTGTGTGTGTGTGTGTTCTAAATACATAAATACAATCTGTTTAATTTATATAATGTTACTTGTATGGATGTTTTTAGAGTTGACTATTTGGTATTGGAAAGCCAATTGGTGTGCTTTTCCTGGAGAAGACTATTTCTCCTGCTTTCAGCATTCTGTAGGTGCCTCTGATTGTTTGGGTTTTGTTTTGTTTTAATTAAATAGGGTTGAGGTCTCAAGCTTTCCTCCTTCACGTTAGTATGACTGTTGCCATCATCCTTGTTTATGTTTAGACAGACGGTCAGGTTGGTAAGACATCTAGGAGACACACGCTTACAGCAAACTTTCTGTTCATCTGTTTCTTACCATCTGTCCGCCCTTCTTCCATCAATAATGTAAGCCTTAAATATAGGGGTTGTGTTGTAAATCTATCAGATGAAGATTGGTTCCATGACTCTACTACATTTTCTATGATGGTCTTCATTTTTTGCAAAGAGAAGTTTCCTTGATGAGGTATGAGAACTACACTTCTCTGTGGGTATAAAGGCAAATATTTAGAATGTACTTGAGGGTTATGCTTGTTTAGTAAACTGGCAGTTGTAGGTTCTCCTCCAAGATCCATAGCTTCATTAGTCATGAGTAGTTGGCTAGGTTTCTAGCCCAAGGCCTGAATTCATTTCTTGTTGACCAGGCCTTAAGTCAAATTAGAGAGGTGTTGGTTACACTAAGAAATATGTGCCACTATTGCACCCTGAAGGTTATTCTGTTATGCTGGTTGTTGTGGTTCAGTGACATCATAGTTTGGTAGGACTATTGGTTACTGCTCTCATTTCAAAGCTTGCATGGTGCCTTCTGGTATCATGAAAGATGGTCATCAGGGAGGAATCTTTCAGGTTAAATCCCAGCTCTGGTCCTCTTGGTCCATGTCTGAAGCATATGGTATCTTCAGCAATCGAAACTTAACTTTTAGCACTAAGAGTACCCTATAATATTCTAGATGTCTCTTAGACAATACTGACGGACAAGTCAAGAAAGTGTTTCATACCTTGGTTGAGATTCTTATTAGATAGTCTATGGCTCTTGGGGTGGCATCATCAGCCCAGGTGGGAAAATTTTGTTTAAGCTATTTGTGAGTATGTGCGTGAATATGTTACAGGAATTGGTTTTTTGTTTGTTTGCTTTTTCGAAACAGGGTTGCTCTTTGTAACTTTTGAGCCTGTTCTATAGAACTAGCTCTTGTAGACCAGGCTGGCCTCAAACTCACAGAGATCTACCTGCCTCTGCCTCCTGAGTGCTGGGATTAAAGGCATGCTCCACCACCACACCCCGGCTAGGAATTTTTTAATAAGTAGATAGGTAATAGTATGATTCCTCATGCTCTTTTCAGATATCCTTATTATCTTACTCTCCTCCCTCCTTCTTCTTTGCTCATTTCATCCCTCTTTGAAGCACCTATCCCCACATTGACCTGTATCCAATCCCTCTTTACTTCCCTACTTCTTATGTGCTAGGTTCTAAAGATCTGGAGTTACAAGCCTTAGATGAGAGAAAGCGTGTAATATTCTCTTTCTGTTTGTTTGGGGTGTGTAACTCAATATGTTCTTTTTCTACTTCAATACATTTACCTGCAGATTTGATAATATATGTTTCTTTGCAGCTAAATAGTATACCATTGTATTAGTGTTCTCTAGAGGAAAAGAACTTATAGAATGAATCTTTCTCTCTACACACACCCAAACGCTCACACACACATATCCCATATATATAATATAATATATAATGTATATATATAATATGTATAATTTATTGGAATGTCATGCAGGCTTCAACCCAGCTAATCAACAATGGTTGGCTATGAACAGAAAGTCCGGGAAACCAGTAGGTGCTTAATCCACCAGACTGGATGTCTCAGCTGGTCTTCAGTATATGTAGGAATTCCAGCTTAGTAGTCTCCAATGCCAGTGAAGGAATGTGCTAACAAGGCAGGGGAAAGCAGGCAAAAGCTTCCTTCTTCTGTGTCCTTATGTAGACTTCGAGCAGAAGGTATGACCTAGATTAAAGGTGTGCCTTGCTGCCTCAATGTCAAGGTCAAAGATTGTGTGTCTTCCTGTTTCAAAGGTCAATAGAAGAAGTGGATTCAATCACTTCAAAGCAAGCAAAAAATTTCTCACAGATGTGCCCTCCATTTCTGGATTGTAATTCATTCCAGATGTAGTCAAGTTGACAACCAATAATAGCCATTGCATCTATTGTGTACATGTACCACATTTTTATTATCTATTAGTCAGTTGAAGAATGCTTAGGTTGTTCCATCATGTAACTGTTGTGAAGGGAGCAGGGAACATGGTTGAGTAAGAATCTGTTAAATAGGGTCTAGCTAGGTGAGGCCTCTTGGTTCTTCCCTCCGTACACTGTTCCTATCCCCCCAAGCCTGTCCCCAATCCCACATCCAATGATCCAGCCAAGTCTGGCCACTCCTGTCTATGCTGCTACCAATCTCTAGACCTGGATCAGGACCCTCCTTGCCTGTTTCAACCTATGAGCCCCTTCCATGCTCCATTCAACCGCTTCACCCAGCCAGATTCTGCACATATATCTCCGTGGTCTAGCCTGGTAAGTTTACCTAATACTTCCCTTCTCATACCACTGCTGCCCCTACATCTAGCCCTTAACTCAAGCTGGAGTAGGACACGGTCCCTAATTTTAACCCTGTGCATCAACCCAGTCCCCTGGGTCCATCTTCTCTAGG